TCCCACACTCTTGCAATATTCTAAACAATGTTTCTAAATGCTCTAAAAGAGCACAGAATGTCATGATTTCAGCTCCCCTGCCTCCTCTGCTCTCTGCCACCTGCCAGCTTCTCTGTCACGCCCACTTCTCCACTGCAGAGCGGAGATCAGCTGATCAGCTGCAGGATTGAGGTCTCTGCAGCTGTGGGCTGCACATAGGTGCAGCAGGGGATAAATTATTAAAAATAATTTATTTTACATAAAAATTCCATGCCTATCATGCGGCTCATCCATAAATCAGTCAATTGTGTCATGACAAATCTTACTTTGAAAAACCGTGATGAGCAAGTCCACGAAAAACAAACGGCGAAGTAGCGAGGGACTACTGTACACTGTAACTGTGCAATAAGTTCTCATCTTATTGGACTGTAGTTTAGTTCAGAAAGCCTTATTTGTTTGTAAAAAATTTAAAACCAAGTTTAAATTGGAGCGGTTGTGATTTTTTTTGTTTGTTTGTTTGTTATTCTCAATATGTATTTTCTCCTTTTTCTGTCTTATAGAAAGTGCCTCAGTACACGTTGATCATCCAAGCAACAGACATGGAGGGCAACCCCATGTATGGTCTCTCCAACACAGCCACAGCCGTCATCAGAGTTACAGACATTAATGACAATCCGCCAGAGTTTACTGCTGAGTTGGTAAGAAACAATCTCATGTATGAGATGTCAACACAATGCTCTTCGTTTAGCAATATCACCTCAAGGACCTCATTTACCCTCGTGAGGACATATGCACTCACCTGTCAGTTCTGCTCACTTACCTGGTTTTGCTTGCCCTGCACTTCTGAAACCATACATTTATACAAGTCGCCAACCATCTGTAAAGTGTTATATCCCACTCCAAGTGTTGACACATGCGGCTATGGGAATGCCTGCCTCAGTGAAAGAGGCACTTACAGTGCTCACAAATCACTGACTTGTAATGCTGCTGTTGTGCTATCAGAGAAGCACAGACTAAGATGACCATGATGTCTATTTACTCTTGATTGGTCCTGCTGTGCAATTTGTGGCTTGGTGCTCTTTTTTTATTTCCTTTTTCTCCCCCACAACTGCATCATCACTAACAGTCTGCTGTTCTGTACATTCATGCAGTTTTTGGGGGAGGTGCCTGAGAACCGTGTGAATGTTATTGTGGCAAACCTGACTGTGACGGACAAGGATCAGCCCAACACACCCGCCTGGAATGCTGTCTATAAAATCATTGCGGGCGACCCCACTGGCAGATTCTCAGTGCCCACTGATCCAACAACTAATGAGGGCCTGGTAACAGTCGTCAAGGTGAGACTCCTTCATTAAATTCCACTTTTTATTCACGTCTATCTGCACTTGAGAAAAATCTGACTTTATAATTAAACACGTCAAATTTATAAGGTGTGAATAGGCCTTAAATGTGTCATGCTGTTCCCTATTATTGAAAAGAACAAGCTGATCCAAATCATTATTGTTTAAATGTACTTTTTTTGTGTGTGCAAATCAACTTCAGCCTTGACAAAAAAAATCTGCCTGTATTTAAAGACTGTAAAGGTTATGTTTAAAACAGATTTTTTTTTTTAACTTGTTTTAAAATTTCCCAACTTTTTTTAATTTTTTTTTTAAATCCAGACCATATTTCAAATGAAATAATATGGTTGCAGAACTCTTACACCAGCTTTCTTGTTGCTGTGCATCCTTGAACTGATCACAAAAAAAATCAGTCTCTTTTATTCTTCTTGATCTTTTTAGCTTTCAAAGTATTTTTTCAGGCTAACAGAAAAATGTTTTAGTTCTTTTGGTTGCTCTCTGATCAGTGTCAACACAACAGAAAATACTATGTAGTTAATTATTTTTTTGTCACTACTTGTTATTTTTTTTACTGCATTTCAGCCTATTGACTTTGAAATTAGTCGAACATATTTGCTGGCAGTGGAAGCAAGAAATGAAGTTCCCCTGGCTAGAGGTATCAGCTCCCCCAGACAGTCCACTGCCACAGTCTCCATCAGTGTAATCGACATGAATGAGAGCCCCTCCTTTGAGCCCAACCCTAAACTAATTAGACTGGAGGAAGGGATGATACCCGAGTCGACGCTGACCACTTTTACTGCGCAGGATCCTGATCGCTACATGCAGCAATCCCTCAGGTAGGCACTAAACTGTAAAACAAAATATTAAATATATTTTCCCACTTGCAGCACTTCTGTTTCTAAATTAAAATTGGAAGTGACATGTTTATAATTCAGGAGCATCACAATAATCAATTTAAATCTTTCAGATATTTTTACAGCTTAACTTCATTACAGATGAATTGACTATTAATCAACAGGGATGAGCTTTAAGAGAAAATAATTAAAATTAGCAGTTGAATTAATCCCTTAATAATTAATCTCTTATGTAAAAATGAAACAGCACTTTATTCATTTTCATACATTCAGGAATGCAGTTATGAAATAAAACATTAACGTATGTGGAGTTTTATGCTAAGAAATCACATCTTTTAAAAATAAACCCCATGTTGCAAATACATTTCCCTCTTTTGTGAGAATCAAATAACAGCCTTTCATTGGAGAAAATACAGTAAGTTGATTGGCTGAAATATCAGTGCCACCGCTCAGGGTTATTGAGATGTGCCCACTTTTTTTTCTTTTTTAAATATATATAATTTAATGTGCCATTGAAATTTGGGGAATAAATGCTCTTTCTTCAAAACGTGGTTGGATGTGCTGAATCTTGCAAATTGTTTGATTCTTGGATTTGAGTCCTAAATTTCCTGTTGGTTCTTGCGTAGTTTGTGCATCACTTTGTTGTTAATCTTTTAAGTGTCTCTTTTTTTAAGTTTGAATTTGAGTCCACAACTTTTTGAAGTATAGCATGTTTTAATTTAGGTAAAATGTCCTAAATGCGGTATGTGTATAAAAAGGGTTGTGATTAGTTAATGTGCATGTTTTCTATACTTATCATCTTAATGACTCCTAATGTTTCTGTTTCTGTACTGAATGTTTCTATGCAGTGCCCTGAAATGACTTCTGTTGTGACTTGGTGCTATATACTGTAAATAAACTAAACTGAGTTGAATTTAATTAATAAAAACTCAGCATCTTACTTTGAACATGCCTTATTTTTTCCTAATCATAATAACTGTTTGCCTGTGAATATGTTTATCTGCTTGAAAACGGTTTGAGGAAAAAAAAAGTTTGTCCTCTAAATTAATGTAAGGCACTAATTAAAAGAAATAATAAAAACCAGTTTGATCTCCTCTGTGATGCCGCTCTCAAAAGTTGGATAACTATGTAAAATGCATGATGTCTGAAATATTTATTCAGTGTAAACAAAACACTTTTAATAGAAAGTCTTGCCAAACTGGACGCAGTACTTCTGTAAAAAATAAACAACTTGGGCCATATCTTAACATTAATGAGACATTGAAACTAAAATCTTAATTAAATTATAAATCACCAAGTTAATGTCTCCTTTTTTTGTCTCAGATACTCCAAGCTCTCAGATCCAGCCAACTGGCTAAGGATTGACCCTTACACCGGTCGGATCACAACAATTGCCATTTTGGACCGAGAGTCTCCGTATGTGAAGAACAGTTTGTACAATGCCACATTCCTGGCTACTGACAGCGGTATGTAAGCGTTCAAATGGTACTGCAGTTTCCAAACACATCTTGTTAGGTCTTACACGGTCTGGGTGTTTTAGCCAGACCGTTTCACATGCACCTTTTTATAGCTATTAACTGCCAGAGCGCTCAAGGAAGCCAATGCTCTCTTTTTTTTTTTTTTTTTTTTTTTTAAAGAAGCCTTAAGAATATCTAATGTAGCTCCTAAAGGTCAGTTTTCATCCTGGTCTCCTTTTTACTACTTTTGTGGTGTTTTTCACTTCAAGCTAATTTATAAGTGAGTCATACCTGGCAGGAAAATGTTCCCGAGGCTTGAAGGGCAGTCAAGTGTCATCATTTTCTCTGCCTGCAAAGCTGACCACCATAGTTGCAAGGTTAATACGCTGGCAATCCCAGAATCGTCTAACATGTGGATGCTTTCACCTTCCGTATGCGCTGGTGGGATTTACCTCTGTTCTGGTTTACCCCATTCTACGGGGCATCGCTTAGGCCAAGAGGCTTAAAGCGTCCACCAATAAAGAGGTTTCTCAGCGTTAATGGGTCAGGATTGGATGACTAGCTCCTTTGAGCGTGGTCTGAATGGTAAAAAAGCCTCTTGGCTGAGAGAATGCATAGAGAAGCCCTGGAGGAACGACAGTGGGCTCTCTTTGTCTGCTTTAGTATTCCTAGCTCGTATCCTTCGTCAGGAAGACGTTCTTCAGGAACACAAACAAACACACTCACACACCAAATGTTCTGATATCCAACTCTTTCTTTCTACCTCCTCACATGAGATTAGATTCTCAGATCAGTATGCAGTTTGTATGGGACTTCTCCCCATAGAGTAAATAGTTATTTAGAGAGTCAAAGAAGAAACTCCATACTTTAGTTTTCTCTGCTGCCTGTATAATGATTTCAAAATGACAGATGGTATTTCAGTAGCATGTTTGTTTCCATATGTAAATTTTTACATTTTGCATTCGTCATAAATATTTACAGTATGTCAATAGTGTGTGCTCTTTAATGGTTTGTACAGGTGCGACACCTGCAAGCGGTACAGGAACTCTCCAGATCTTCTTGCTGGATATCAACGACAACGCACCCAAAGTTTTTCCTCAGGAAGCAGAGATATGTGAAAAGCCGGAGCCAAACGCCATCAACATCACGGCAGTGGACGGGGACCTGAGCCCAAACGCGGGGCCTTTTGCCTTTGAGTTGGCTCACAAGCCAAATGATGTCAGAAGGAACTGGACCATAACAAGAATTGGCGGTGAGATCCAGAACTATAATGAATCCTAGTCAGATGCAGGGCCATTTGTCCTGTTTTAAAACCCCAGATTAATGAGATTAAACTAATCTTCAGTTTGCAATTGCCAGAATGTAAGAGATTATGATTCCTTTGTAATTTAATGTTTACTAGAAGTGGAAAAACAAAAGATGACTTTTTGCAACTGGTTGCATTTGATAATTATCTACAAAAACCAAAGTAATATGTCTTTGCAATTTGTTTAGTCATTAAAGCTTTGAGTTTAATCTAAGCAACATTTTGAAACATGTTCAGCTGTGTGTGTAAACAGCACACTTTAGTGATGTCAGAGTTAAAAGATACAATATAATAATCTATTAATCTTGCCAAACAGTCATTAATTATTTATGGTAATTTAAAACCAAACCACGAGTGGAGGAGTCTCATTTGTTGTGCGTTAGCTGTTAGTGTGAGTTGAAACACAGTAAATAAATCTTAATAGGATAATGGCATTTGGATTATCACAGCTGGGAATTTAGCCTAAGAAGCATTATCAAAAGGTATTCAGTAGGTTTATAAGCTTCAAATCCAAATCCTGACCATGTTTTGGATTAGATATGCTGATGCAACTTCCAGGTAGGAATTTATGCTCCATATTTGTGATGAAAGGAGTATAATCATGGTGTGAACATCATCTATACTGATGACTTCCACGTTTGGATTAAATCCCCTGTGAAAGACTGAGCTCCGAAACAAACCTGATGTTGGTTTATATTAAAGCGCACTGAGTTGCCTAATCTCTGGAGTCGCCACTCCAAATCTGTTTCTTCTGATAAGAAGGCAATATGTTTAGAGTCATTGCTCACCTACTTTGCATCTCCCTCTTTCAGGTGACTATGCTCAGGTGAGCCTGAAGATTGGCTTCCTTGAGAGCGGTATCTATGATATACCCATCATAATCACAGACTCGGGCAACCTACCCATGTCCAACACCTCCTACCTGCGGATTAAAGTATGCCAGTGTGACATTAATGGAGACTGCACGGACCAGCAACACATCATGGCTGCTGGTTTGGGAACTGGCGCCATCATATCCATCCTCCTCTGCATCATCATCCTCCTCAGTGAGTCTCTCAGCGTCTCTCACACACACTGCACAAATAACATGAGTGAACATGGGGATTATAAAGACAGCTATCCGAGATATCATTAGATTACTGTAGGATTACCCCCGCCCCCCTGCAAAAAAAAGCCTCGATCAGGCCCCCATCCAAACTCTCAAACATCGGATCCGATTACATTTCAGAGAGAATCTGCAAGTTATTATGTTTTAAAATGTGATGTCTGTGTTTTTCCTTTCAATCAGTCCTTGTGTTGATGTTTGTGGTGTGGATGAAGCGCCGTGAAAAAGAGCGTCAGGCCAAACAGCTTCTTATCGATCCGGAGGATGATGTGAGAGACAACATCCTCAAGTATGACGAGGAGGGCGGTGGAGAGGAGGATCAGGTAAGAATCATGTGGTAAACGCATTCTTCTCGTGTTACTTTGAAGTATCTGAAAACCTTTTTTTAATTTTTTTTTATTAGATTGCAATATATCTTGTAGGTGAATGTTGTTAAATTGAAAGTATTTTTTACATAATTACTCTATTTCTACATAAACTAAAGCGACTATAGAGACGGGATGGTTAGTGTTTAAGCTGATCTGATAAAACTATCCTGATGGTGGGTATTATATGTGCCAATTTGTTAAAACAAACATATGTTTAGATATAATTTTTAAACCGTTCAGCCACAGGTTTCAATCGGCTAAGAAATACCTGCAATTTGAAACCAACGACTTTGTGTTCTGCATTGCATTTTACCAACATAGCTCATTCAAAAGCTTTACAGCACTTCAGAAAAGGCATTAAAGGTAAATATGTTGTCTTTGTTGTGGAGAATTATTCTGGTCACATCTTTGCTGCACAGGAGGAGTTTGGCTGAAGCAACATAAGAACAAAGAGCACCACTTGCGTGTTTTTTCCCTACAAGCATACATACATTTACAGTTTCTTTCTAGTGTTATCTCAGCTTGTTATGCTGCTCCAAGACATACCTCTGAGTCAATCACAATGAAAAGTAAGACGGGTTTTTATTGAACATTGGAGACTGTCATTTTTTCCTCAAAGGAAGCTGAAAATCAAAAGCTAGAATCAATAAGGCAAACGCATTTTGATCCAATTGGTTCTGGAAATATTGGAAATGTTTTGTCAACTGGAACAGCTCCCCGTTTCACAGCCCTAATGCACACACAAACAATAGAAACGCAGTGCCACAGGCATCAATAGTGTCCCGTCTCTGTATCCTCCTGCATGGATCAGGCGCACACAGAATTCAATTGTCCTAATAACCTCTTGTTAGCAAAACGGAGTCATTTCATAAAAAAGGCAGTGTTGCACCAAATGGGCTATTTTCTTGCTGCTGGCTAAAATGCTTTGGTGGCTTAGGTATAGCAGAAATGTGCGGGAGACCCCAGTCTGACCCAGCGCAGTGCCAAATTAGCCTTGGAGACTTGTAATTGGTGAGCTGATGTCATTTAGAGACAGACATCTGCTGTGGTGCAATAATGAAACCCTGTCTAAGGTAACAATATGACTGGAAAGCCATTACACATCTGCCAGTAATTAGGCAGGAGGGAGAACACCCATTTGTCTATTAACATCCTCTGTCTCGCACATAAAATGCAACAAACCTGTGGACCAAAACGTGTTGAGAAGGAAACTGTTGCACGATATAAACAGCCCTTAAAGGCGAACGAGTAGATGCAGCGATTTGTTGAGGGGGAAACGAGCATCTAGTTTGAGTGGGGCAGAAAGGCCAAGGCGCCAGGAGAAAATGGTCTTGTCTGCGGAATTGTATGCGGAGTCAGTGTTGGGTAAAAAATGGACCTGACTTTCCCAGCAATGTAGTCTTTATAAAGCCCACCTCTGTTCTCCCTATCTCCCGCAGGGGAGGAAATTGAAGTGTCAAAGCACAGGGTGCTTTCAGAGTTTGTGATTTTAGTTGCTGCTGTCATTGCCCTGGTTTGTATTGGTTTGTGTAGCCCTTATTTGATCAAAGGCAGACAGGTGATCAGCTTGCACTCCTAGGATGTGGCCCAAAAGATGAAAAAACAGAAATAATGGCAAATTGAGACACACTTGTGTTGAGATTTCCTTGCAGAACAAATAATGTACAACACAATAAGTCATCTTCTTCTTAAAGTGACCTTAGAATAATTTATTTCACATTTACCCGAGGCATGCTTTTGCTCTTTGTTCATTTTATTTTATTTTTTTCCCAATCTCATGCAGCACATGGAATAAATCAAACCTGTTGCCTTGTTTTCCTCCCCCACAAACAAAACGCAGGCTTCGTCACTCTGCTCATAACATCTCTGAAAAGATCGTTTTAATAAGTTGGACCTCAAGATTAGAGTTTTTCACCTTTTATGATGAAATTTAATTAACTTTGATCAAAAGAAATTAATTACAAAGACTATATCATTTATTTTTATTTTTTTAAATTTCATTCTCTGACTCCATCAGAAGGATTCTGTTTACTCGTGCAACTTCACTGCAGGAATAAAGAGGGGGACAATTTGCCAGAGGGCACACTATCTGGTGACCAGCACATATGTTCCCTGTCGTTGTTTGAAGTTAACGAGCTGCTGGCTTCATTCTCTTAACAATCTCACATATTTACGCTGTTAATTTCTTATTTAATTTCTTGCGAGAAAATAATCTATTTTTGATTTTTTTTTTCTTAAAAAAATGGAATATGTTGTAAAACCAGCCAGCACTTAATTAACAAATGCTCTAAAATTGACCTCTGATTGTGTAGTAAGATGCACGTATAATAGACATGTGTTATCCCTAAATACTTTTGTTGCTCAAACACGAGCGGAGGCGTTTTCGCTCTTAACCAAAAACAGGAGTTTACCTGACTAATAGATTGTTTTTCTTTTTTTATACTTCGTCTAACTTTGTAGTTTGTTTTAAGGCTTCATGGCCAGTTGCTTCTGCTTCTTCAGAAATGCACTCCACAACATCTCAGCTTGTGGTGATAAGAAGAATAGTATATTTATTGTCTAAACCAAAATGACGTTAGATTTTGGACAACAGTTTGGACTTGGCCATTAGCATCAAAGTTTAGTTCTGTCATATTTATTGTGTGAATGCTTACTGAGCATTCACACTATTGTGATCCTATTGCCACTTCTAAAGTCTCCTGTAAGTTTTTCAACATCTTTCCCGTTCCACAATTTTTGTGCTATTTCAAGAAATCTAAAAATAAGTTGTCAGGTTCTCAGGACAGATTCAAAAAATTAAAAAACTGCTGCTGCTGTGAATTGCAAGCGGCCATCAGAGTGCTAACGATCGGTCGTTAGGCTGATAGTCCTTCTTTATTGTGTGAACAGCTAGCTTTGAATGTTAACAACAAATTGCTTGATCTACTATAAGAAGGTGCTGTTTATAAGACGGAGCTTGTGCAGCTCCTCAGACTGAAGAAGTCTTTCAGATGAAAGACGAAACGGTTCAACAAGTTTTTTGTTTTTTAATCTTTTGAATCCGTCCAGGGGACTGACTTAACTTTTTTAGATTTTCTACCTGGATTATTGAGCATGCATGTGGATATTTCAACAAATCATAAAAATGTTCAGCTCTTTCAGGACAATCCTGATATGACTTTTAGTATTGGTGCAACTTTGGCTTTTTGAAATATTTAACCTTTGCTGCCATTTTTTTTCCTCATCGAAAATGAACTGAGCTCATTTTACATCCTTCAGATCTTTAGATCTGTTTACAACCTTTCACTGCTCCTTTCACAGTTTGTTCTGATTCAGCTTCCTTGTGCACATTTAAACATATTTTCAGCTACTTTCAGCTGATTTCACCTGTTTTTCAGCAGTGTTTTGCTCCTTTCAGATTCTTTCTGCCAACTTTAACGTTTTTATACTTCTTCTAACTTCTTTCTACTAATGTCAGCTTGTTATGATCCTTTCAGCTTATTTCTGTAAGTTTCAGCTTTTTCTACTATTTCAGTTACTATTTAGCTGTTTTATGCTAATTTTGGCTTTTTCAGCTAATTCCACTTTATTTTCAGTTCAGTTTTTTGCCTTTTTTTAACACTCATTTCATTGTGCTCTGTCCACTTCCTTCTGGTAATTTACACTCCTGCTATTTTAGCTGTTTTTCAGCAGGTTTTTTGCTCTTTTAAGCGTTTTTCAGATAATTTCCATTTTTTTGTGCTCATTTCTTCTTTCAGCATAATTCGGCAAATGTGTTCTTTTTGCTTTCTTCTGCTAATTTCTTGTTCTACCTTTTTAGCATTTTTAGCTAATTTCAGCTGCTTTCAGATAAATTAAAGGTTTTGGTGGTAATTTTTGCTATATTCAGCCTAATTATCTTCTTTATGCTAATTTCAGCTTGTTATGCTCCTTTCAGCTTTTTTTCTGCTAGTTTCAGCTTTTTCTGCCATTTCATCTACTATTTAGCCGTTCTATGCTAAATTTAGCCTTTTTCGCTAATTCCACCTTTTTCTAGCTCATTTCAGCTCTTTCCACTTCTTTCTGGTAGTTTAAACTTCTTTCTGCCCTTTCAGCTACTTTTCAGGTATATTTTGCTAATTTCATCTTTTTTAGCTAATTTCATCTTTTTTAGCTAATTTCCTTTTTGTGCTAATTTCTGCTTATTTAAACCTAATTCAGCAATTATCTGGTCTTTCTGCTTTCTTCTGCTAATTTAGGCTTGTTTTTCCGTTTCAGCTACTTTTCAGCACTTTTTTTTGTGTTAATTTCAGCAGTTTTCAGCAAGTTCTTCTGCAATAAACATTCACACTGCATTTGCAGGAAAGGCAATTTCTCTAGCTAGTGTTGTATTTGTAGTTCTTTGAGCTTGCCACAATCGTTTTGCTTAGTTGTGAAAATTATTTTGAATTTTTGTGTCTTAAAATATGGAAATTAAAGTGATAAAAGGTTTATACCAAATTTTAGGTGTTTATTTTTTAAATATATTTTTTGCAGGAGCAACATTTGAATGTTTGATCAGTTGCAATTGGCTTCCATTAGCATTAATATAATGCATTAATAATAACCGCTCCAAATGAATATTTGGTTCCCATTTACTGTCCGTCTCCCCAGATGGTAAGAGATAGCTGTTTGTAAGAACATTTAGTTGCTTGTGTTTGAATGTGGGTCATGAATGCCAGCAGGCAGCCATTTCACAAAGCCTAACTTACGTGTGAGGAGCCAGTTCACCAACAAGTGCTGCCATATTATGTTACTTCTGCTTTTGTGGCTTGAGCTCTTTTAAAAGTCATCATTTTACCATTTCAGTGAAAACCTAATTTTGTCCTTAATAACAGTAACATATTTGACTTCAAGAAACGTGTTGATAATGCAATCATCCAAATGTGTTGAATTAGTTGTTAAATGTTAAGTTTGTGACTTAAGGTAAACAGCTGGGTGGATACGTTGTTCTCATATTACATTGTGCTTCATCATAAAGGTGTGAAAGTGTTAGGAGCACCAGTCAAACAATGAACACACATAGTGTTGGTCAGTTTCAGCAGATTTTTATGAATATTGGAATTATTCTGATAAATATGAGCAATGCTTGATTCAAAGGATCCTAAATATTGGTTTTATTTTTTGCAACTATTACTTAAAAAACCCACATTTAAATAGTTGGTTTTGAATAAGAGAATTATCCCGATGTAAATACGAGACGTTTAGCCACCTTGCTGGATCTGGATGGACGTGGTTTTATGCATTATTCCTTTTTTCCCATCAGTGTGCCTTTAGCATATTTTTCCTCTTAGAGTGTCTGCGTTTGAAGGTACATCTTCAACTGAGCAATGACATTTTTGAAGGGGATATTAGAGATGGATGGATTACTGAAAATCTCTTAAAGAGGGCCAATCCATCATGCACGCTTATTAGGCACACGCTGATTCTCAAATGGTATTATCTTTATCATATCAGCCGTCACCCTGATAGAATCCAGTCAGTCAGCTCGGCTGCTCTACTTTTCCTCACAGCTCTTTTCTACAACCTAACTTTTTCCTCTCGCTGCTCTTCCTCGTCCTATTTTGTTGCCCATGACTTTGCACAAACTGCATGCCATTCAGGTTGCCTTGGTAATGCTAATAGGATTAGCAATGGCTTAAGCATATCCATCATCCTGTGTCTGGGCATTGATTAGAGCAAAATAGTCGCCTGCACATCCTTCCTGCACCACATGGCACAAGAACAGAGACTCAGCAGTGTATGCTGTGATCCTCAGTTTGAACTCCTCCAGTGAATTATTTTTTTTCCTCTCGTTTTATGTGTCAAGTTGGTCCTGGACTTGTTCCTCACAGACAAGAAGATTAAAGTTCTCCTCGTTGCTTTGCGCTGCGTTTTAATTTTGAAATCTCTCCCTCTCCTGAGTTGAACTTCTTCTTGCTCCTCTCAGCACATGGCGTGTTCATCTGTTTAAATAATCACACTTAGTTTGGGTTCTTGTCACACTGCTCAGTTATAAGTCCCATCTGTTTGCCTGTTTCCAGGATTATGACCTGAGTCAGCTGCAGCAGCCAGACACACTAGAGCCTGATGCCATCAAGCCGGTGGGAATCCGCCGTCTAGACGAGAGACCTCTCCACCCTGAGCCCCAGTATCCGTTGAGGTCAGCAGCACCCCATCCTGGAGACATTGGAGATTTCATCAACGAGGTAAAGGCTCGTCATAACTTTTTTTCCCATTCAACCTTTATTTGTACAGATAAATCACATTGAGCCTCGAAGACGCATTTACAAGTGAGACCTGTTTACTTCTGAAAGTGGTGTCGCTTCTGAATTCAGTCTCCCACGAAACAGCCAAAATGAAAGATTCAGTGCAGTCACAAAGCTTAAATTTTATTTTCAACCCAAACGCATTTCTTATAATAAAATGTGTATCTAAATAAACTATTAGGCTTTTATGACTGAGCGTCAGAGATGTCCCCACTGCCTTCCAGTGGAAAACTTTTTTCCGTTGAATCAGCTCAGTTCAATGTTTTCGTTGCAGAAATCGAGAAACTTTTGTAATATCCACACCAACTTTTCTAAAGCTCAATGTATACGATGCTAACTCGCTCTGATATAATTGTTTTCCTCCTCGCACTTTGCCAAAAAGGAAATAGAGATGTGTCATAGTATAGTAATGACATGGTAATGGCAGATGAGAGAAGCAATGCATTAGCTTTCTATGTGCGTGCACAGCGCCGAGTGCCCTCGTTTGCCTGAGGCCATCATTGACTCCAGCATGAAGGCAGAATGTAAAATGAAAAGAGGAGTCATATATTTTTCACAAGCTCCAACAGACGAGAGTTTCACAGCATTACAAATGAAGTTCGCTCCTCGTTTTTGGATGGTACCCCTGTTTTTAGATTAGAGCTTGCTCTTTCAGCTCTGCTGCCCTACCATTTATCTCCCAGGTCCCTTTGCTCTGGCGTCATGTGTTTTCTCAAACAGTGAGTCATGAAAACGGCTAATCAACTTGTCAACGCAGCTGATATGTAGAGAAATGTTTTATTTTGTGGTAAATATCAGTTTGAAAGCGTACACCATCTTCAGAATTGTTTTTTCATGTCGTTTCAAAGACCTCTTTAGTGGAAAATTCTCACTAGAACCAGGCAATACTGATCCGTCTGCAGTCCCAAATTTGGCTGCTGCTCAGCCTAAGTCATGCTAACTGCAGCAAGCACATGGAGCTGGAATGACCTAACTGATATGGCACGCTGCCAGCAGTGAGGGGAGACGGAGAAGAGTGGGGGAGGGAGTATGTCTCATCTCCATCCTGAATTGTGCACATTCCCCCGGAGCTCGGGGCTCTTAATTAAATTAGAGGAACAGAAAAAAAAATATCAGGCGTGGGTTTAGCATAAAGACGTTAACCCCATAGTCGAACAAATAAAAGTCCATTAGTCAACTTCTGGTCTGTTCTCACACAGGGGGGTCAGCATTAAATACATTAGCACCAATGTGGCGTGACCTCTTTTGTCCACAGGTGGACACAGCAAGAGACAAAGCTGAAGAGATTGCGTTCATTGTTCTGCACAATGACTCGTTTCAGTCCTCGCAAGGCTTTCCGTGCACCGAGATAGCAGCGGGTTTGATTACACATCATTATCTGCAAGACAGAGTGGCTCCAAAACGTGGAGACAGTTCCCCATTTTATAAGTTGTGATTGATTCCACTGCAGAGGATTACCCAATTTTTATGATTTTTTTAAATTCTTATAATGCTGAGCTCATTAATTGTCCAACTTTATGAAACTGCCAGTGGCATTTTAGTTGTAGATAGAGGGAGGCAACATCAGGCAGAGCTAATATGGTTGTAATTGAAATGAACTATCCATCTGTCATATTTTTCACAAAATGATCAGCACCGCAACCCTGACCAAACGTTTTACCAAAGCTAACAAGTGGAAAATAATGGCTAAGTGCCCAGGCACTTTAATCCAATCCATCTCTTTATTTGAGAGTATTTCAGCACTATAGTCACAGTATAGAGGAACCTATAAATCTTTGACAGGCTCTCAATGAGAGGAGGTCTCTTTTCTCTGCTGTGGTTCTGTACCTCTTTAATTCATTCATTATTTGTTGAGTGTCCTCAGTTCTAGCAATATGATGGAAAAAAACGGGCCTGAATCCAAAAGTGGTTCATGGCCAAAGCACATCTCAGCTCCTAGATTAGCAATCCATCAAGTCTCCTGAGTCCTGTTAGTGAATGAGGCTGGAAATCAATAGCAATCCATAAGGACCTATCGAGACGCTATGAGGATTTCTGGGAATGTCAAGTAAGATCTCCAAAATAGAACCACCCTCACCAGCTCTGTAAGCTTCAGGATAACATGCACACACATGACAAATGTTCACGTGTCATCGTCTCTTCTGATGGCTGCATTTTACTGCGATGATTACAAATCAAATATTACAGATATTTAGAGCGGATGACGTTGTAGCTGTGCTTCCTGGGCAGAGGATACTGGCCTCAGTTTCAGGGGTTACTCAGGGTAGGAGAGATACTTTGGGGCATTTTAGGCTTCTGTTCATGCTCAGCGTTGGCCTTTGATCCAGCAGCAGATAATCCAACATCCTAGAAACATCAGGAGGATTCCATCTGGAACGGAAAACTCAGTAACGCTAGAGCCTGGTTAATCCGGACAAGAATCGTATTTCCTGAACAAGCCAAGGGGAAGACCCTTTGAAAGGTTTTCAGGAAGATGAGCCTGTTGTTGTGAAGCAGTAGGTGGGAGGGAGCGATGTTTACGTTGTTGCAGACAGGTTTTTGCGTGTAGAGTGCAGACGTGACCTAATCTTCTCATCTAACTGTGGTTTTATTTCCTTGCGCACAGGGACTGAAGGCAGCAGACAACGACCCCACTGCTCCTCCCTACGACTCCCTGCTAGTGTTCGATTACGAAGGCAGCGGCTCCACAGCCGGCTCTCTAAGCTCACTCAACTCCTCCAGCAGCGGGGGCGACCAGGACTACGATTATCTCAACGACTGGGGCCCTCGTTTTAGAAAACTGGCAGACATGTACGGTGGAGGCGATGACTAGGACACTGGCACACATCGAAGGATAAAGATTAAAACAAATGAAGAAAAGGAAAGATTTCCTCTTGAAGGACAGCTTCTGATATTCCCTGAGTGGTAGAACGGTGACTGAAAAGATAAAAAACAAAAACATTAATTCAAACTTTCTTTCAAAAACAACCAATCTAGGCTTATTGTTGTAGTCTCTGCATACATATGCTTGTTGAAAGCTTAGGCATAGGCTGTGGAGGAGCTGTGGAGGATGGGGAACGCTGGTGGACTGTCACCACTCAGATTGTCGTACTGAATGCGCTCGGTTAAACTTGAATTTCACAGTACAGAAGCACTGGGATATAATGTGCCTTTTTGTACATTTTTTTGGATCTAAATTAGTTTTATGTTCAAGGCTTTAATGGTACTGACTTTTGGAGTGATTTCAAATGAATATGTTACACTCTGGTATGCTTCTACATGCTTTTTTCTTCTTCTTCTTTTTTTGTGGTTACACAACGCTCCCGTTTGAAGATTATTTAAATAAATCACAAGGATGAAGGAACATCTGTTAGCTTGAATGAGAAGAAAAAGGATTAAAAGCAGCACTGTACAGTATGCTAAACTTTTAAACTTTCTCACTAAAAATTTAAATTGTGCAGCTGGTTGCAAATAAAGGGAGGTATAAATCACACTTTTGTAGCAATTTATTTTTCTTTGAGGTGATGTAGTATGTTACAAAAACAACAAGCCGTTTTGGTCTAATCTATGTACACTTCTTTTGCCTTAGTCATACTCTGATACGTTCGAGTTTTACTTCACTGTAAAAAGATGTGTGTACATATTATTTCTTTTTTTTTTTTTTTTCTTTTGATGTAGTATTATGAAGAAGTTCAAAGTTCCAAACTTGTAAATGTATAATTTGGACAACCAATTCAAGTTTTTTGCATGTTTTTATCTTTTCATGACAACAAAAATTAAATAAAAAAAAAAGTTTACTGATTTTCTTTACAACGTGGGGAAAAAAATAAAACCCTGGGTGGTAATAAATGTGTAGAAGTTACGAGTGTTTTGTATAAAAAAATAAATAAATGGAAAAAAAAACTGAGTAAAATAGAGAAGTAGTGATCTTGTCAGCACAACTGTTGATTTTGTACCAAACAGAATGGGACGTGGGACGGGATGTCGTGCTGTCAGCACTAATGAATGAATCAGCTTTAAGACTGGAGAAGGTGTTGAACTGAAGCCTTGTGGATAACCATGTGTACTGCAACACCAATTATACATCTCTGACCCCAACCATCCAAATAAAACACTGATTTTGGAGCTAATGAAAAAAACTGCCTCTTTATTTTTATTCATACTCAGCAGTACTGCAGAGGCTAAATTAGATTATGTAATCTGGAACAATGGGTGTACAGTAGTCCCTCGCTACTTGGCAGTTCATTGTTCGCGGACTCGTTCCGTCTTGGTTTTTCAAAATAAGATTGGACATGACATAATTGGCTTATTCATAGATAATCGGCATGGAAAGTTTATTTAAAATTTATTATTTAGCACCTAATGCACATTTGTGCAGCCCAGAGCTGCATAAAAAGCTTCCTCTTGCACCTTTGTGGAGCCCACTCTGCAGGATAAACTTCCTCCTGCAGCTGATCAGCTGTTCTTCGTGCAGAGAGGGAAAGTGGGCGTGGCCAAGAATGCTTGCGTATGGCTGAGAGCAGTGGAGGCAGAGAGGGAAATCATGACATTCTGTGCTCTTTTAAAGTTAAGAATTTAGAAACATTGCTTAGAATATTGCAAGAGTGTGGAAAGTGTTTAAAACGCCTTTTATATATACTGTATGTTTATGTATGTGTGTGTGTATATATATATATATATACTAAGATAAACTACTAACTACTTGTACTACTATTCCTACATTGCAGTTTTTCACTTATCGTGGGGCTTCAGAGTACGGATCCACTGCGATAAACGAGGGACTACTGTATATTTAAATTTTGCATAGTAGAAGAGAACATCAAAAGTTCATGTTCAATAATCCAGGTAAAAAAATCCAACAAAGTTCAGTCAGGTCATCTGGACAGGTTTTTTTTTTTTTTTTTTTTTGGTGAGACATTTCGTCCTGAATCCAAAGGACTTCATCAGTCCAAGGAGCTACAACAAACTCAGTCCTACAAGCAGAACACTCGCATAGTGGGACAACCAGTTTGCTGGTGATGCGATGGTTTCTGGGGCCTGCCCTCTCCCCTGTCAATGATTTCTGGGGTAGGCCGTTGAGCAACTGTTCATTGAGCATGAACTTTAATGTTTTGAACCACTTTGTCTATGGCTGCCTCAGAGGAGTCGACGGGGCAGAAGGCGGGCCCCAGAAACCATCTTCTCACCAGCAAACTGGTTGGTCCACAATGGGAGTGTGCTGCTTGTGAGACTGTTGTGGCTCTTCAGACTGATGAAGTCATTTGGATGAAGGATGACACGTCTCAACAAAAAAAAAAAAAACTGTCCAGATGACCTGACTGAACTTTATTAGACTAGAAGAGAATATTTTGACGTTGTACAGAAATAGAAACCTTATGTAAATCCATAGAATAAGTTTTGTTGCTTGGAGGGGGAAAACTAAAACTCAGTTTGTTTCTCAAAGCCGAGTCAAGGACGAGAACTCGTCAAAAACACAAATCCGTTCAGTCCCTGTCTGCTAGCAGAGATTTGTTCAGTTACTGTACTGTCAGACTGAACTTGACCTCAAACGCCTCCGAACAGCATCTCTTAGGGGACTTTTTGTGTGTTTGCTCTTCTGGCACATTTGGCAGGGTGAAAACAAGAATCCCTCTCTGTGCGTTGTATGTGGTGGCAGAAACAGCAAGAACTATCTATTCAGCTGTCAGCGCACAGCGCCGTTGGTTGACGAAAGTCACAGAGCGTCACCCATTTAGTCTTCACCTGTCACCCTGTTCTGCTTCTTGTAATTCATGGAGTCATCCTTTACCAAATTAAAAAGATGCAGCCGTGTATTTTAATCCAGCCGAATTAGGCCGAGCCGAGTATGGTTCCTCAAACGAAACAATGAACGGCTATTAGCGAGTACCGTACTCACTGAACCGTTCCTGCCCTTTGTTTTCAGCATGTGTAATGGTTGTAGCTGGCTGTTTATTATTCAGTTCCTCGTCCTGTACCTCTTAAGAACACCCGTAGTGTTTTACGGTTCATGAGCCAACAAGTGAGTCCAAAGACTTGTTTTCAAATGACCTTGTGGTGTGCAGCTCTTATCTCGGGGTATGCATAGCTCCGCGCTCCATTTGCCAGTATCAACACAAAAAGACGTTTCTGTGCAGAGCCGGCTTTAATGCTAAACAACAGACTGCCTGACCTCGACGTGTTGTTCCAACTGCAGCTGAATCAGATTTGCCCTATCACATCACTTCCTTTTTACCTTGAGGTTTTCAAACCAAACTGCTGGACTTTGTCTTTTCTTTTCTGTTTTACTTCCCTTGTAGATGAGGAGCAATTGGCCAAACTACTTTCCTTGCTTTAATCTTGAGCAGGCGGACGTGTGGTTAGTTTGTTAACATCTTAAAAGGGCTTCATTTTGGGCCTTGGAAGTTTCCAAAGTGTGCACTGAAGCAGAACAGGGTTTGAGTAGATTTTACACCATTAGGGGAATAGTTGGACTTTTGTTTATTTTTGACATGTTCTTGCTTAGGTTGCAATAATTAGACAAGTGGATTGATGCTTCTAACATTCACATCTGCCTGATAGAGCAACACAAGGCAGCAAGTGAACTTACAGTAAATGGACTGCACTTATACAGCGCTTTTCTATCTCATGAAGATACTCAAAGCTCTTTTACCTCATTTACCCATTCATACAGCACTCTACTATACCTCTACAAAGAATAACCGGTGCTTTACCACATGCATACACCGATTGGACACACGTAGGAGGCAATGAGGCGTTCAGTGTCTTGCCCAGGTACACTTCAGCATGCGACTGCTGCTGGAATCGAACCCCCAGCTCTTGCATTGGAGGACGACTGCTCTAACCACTCAGCCACAGCTGCCCCATAATGATCAATGCACAGTGCAAGCAGCAGAAAAAGAAAGATGATTCTGCGTCACATTACTGAGTTCCCAATGATCAAACTATCGATGCATGCAGTTTATTTCCTAAAAGAGAAAGTTGGACAAAAAGTCTTTGTTGATTTCAGGGTTGTGTTCCAGATATGGTCATGAAGGGTCTTTTTTTTTTTTTAATATATATTTTATAGATTACCGGTAGTTATTAGTCATGAGTATCTTATCTGTGCATAACAAACTGAGGTTGCAATCGAGGCAAATTTTAATGACTGAATCAAACTAATGACTAATTAAACTGGAGTCTATTCCAGAGCAGATTTCAGCCACGCAAAGCAACTCAAACCTCAGAAATGTCTAAGCAGTTCAAACAAAATGTTCAAGTTCTTATAGCACATTAGCTTTCCATCAGATAATTTTGCTAACTTGGTACATTTACCGTAGTCTGTTTGTCATAGAAAGTGTTGGAACAAATCCCAAACCACGTTTTATTATAGCTGCTTTTCGCTTAATCATTTTAATCATCATGTAAATCATCTGATACAAAAAGTGACGAGGTGGAAAAGCCAACAGTAAAGCACTGATTTGAACTGTGATGTATTTTCTGGGCTAAACCTCATTTCATTTACCCTACCTTGGCCTCAGCACCTATTTTGATACCTACCCCTTGGCTCTTACTTTGAAGTCACAAATGGTAGTAGATAAAATATATAATTTAAAAATGAGACCATCATTAAGAAGTATCCTGATGCATGCTCAATAATCCAGGTAGAAAAATCTAAAAAAGTTAAATCTGGTCCTCTGGACATTCAAAAAAAACCCCAAAAAAAACCAAACAAAGCAAATCAACAAAAAAATGTAGAAACGTTTCGTCTCTCATCCGAGAGACTTCCTCAGTCTGAGGAGCTGTATTCAGCTCAGTCTCTTAAATAGCACCTTCTCAGAGTGGATCAACCAGTTTTGCTGCTGACAACCAAAACCAGCTGATCACATTTTGAACCACTTTGGCCAGGATTGCCTCCTTCTTGAGCATGTGATCAGCTGGTTTTGGTTGTCAGCAGCAAAATGGTTGATCCACTCTGAGATGGTGCTATTTAAGAGACTGAGCTGAATACAGCTCCTCAGACTGAGGA